ATTTTGAATTTCCTGTCTTGCCACGTAATCAGCATACCTTCTGGTATGAGCCATCTGAAGGGCACCTTGTACTTGACTAGGTGTGAGGAGAGGAAGTGGTAATCCCTTCTTTCCCTGACCCTTCTTGGAATTTGTTTTAGTGTTATGATCTCTTTTCCTTTGTAGATCAGAGGTTCATCCTTTGTCTTCTTATACATTTCATCCCTTGCTGTTTTCCTAGAAAACCTCACATGGACACCTCTTGGTGCCGTGCATAGTTTGTATGTAACCTATATATTTCAAAAATATCACATTGGATCTTGTTTTTGCCTTTTTGTAGAGCATCTGCTAATAGTTCTGTCATGGTTTTTAATAAATCTTCCTCCTGGAGTTCCGGTTTGCAGCACTTCGGGGCAGGCAGGAATTGGTGACTGTGCGCCGTTTCTGTCTGCGCTCACTGCTGGAGTGCCCTGAGCCACTTGGCTTCAGGGCTAGCCACCTCCGTAGAAGGTGGCGAAGATAGGGGGGATCTGGCAGGGTCGAGAGATATCGCACCTCTCTTCTCTAGCTGGCAAAAACCCCTTTTCCGAAGGCAGCCGAGTGGCGGTCAGAAATGGCCGCCACATAGAAGCGCTCAGCCGGAAAAAGAAGGTGCAGGAGGAGATGAGAAGAAGTGAAAGTTTTTTTGCTGATCGGGACAAAGCAATAACGACAGTACCCTGGAACTTAAAATTTGCGAAGGACACATCATTTCCAGAGATTTATAAGCGGCGAATGAAAATTAAAAAGGGAAGTTTTTCTTTTTTTTCACTCTCCTTCCTAACGTGACAGCGAATGGAAATGCAAGAGAAATCGGAAAAATCCGCATTGGCACTAATAGGTAATTAAATGCTAAAGGGATAAGGATTTCTGAATATTTTTAAAAAAATCTTTTTTGCTGTAAGTGGGAAGGGAGAGGAAAAGAATTGGAGCAGGATTTGGAAGTAAGGAGGAGATTGCCTAGAATCTCAAAGAATTATTAAATACTAACAAGACTTCTAAAAGATACATTTTAACTGGAACTTGTAACTAAACAGTAACTCCAGAAAGAGAAAGTGAAGAAAGAAGAAAGTGCTAAAAGAAACAGCTTATTTGGATTGTTTGGTGACTTCGGGACTTTGTGGAATTATTTTTGACTAAAAACACTTGGGTGGCTATTTTGGAAAAACTTTTTCTTTCTACAATGGCATCACTTGTGGATGAATTGAAAATTGAATACAAAAAATACAAAGAAGAAGAACAAGAAGGGAAAGACTCTCTTGGCACTCTTTTTCAATTTTTAGAAATGGCGATTTGCACCTATGAGAAACTGACAGTGCAACAACATGATTGGGACAAAGAAGAACCCATCTTTTGATGAACAAGTAACTTTATTTGGGGAAGAAAGAGAGAAAGAGGATAAGAAAAAGGGGACTTTAAGACTTGAAAAAACAACCAAAAAAGAGAAAAATAAGGTGAAAAGTGGATATAATGTTAGAAAACAACAGAAAGGGGGAAAGCAGAAGAAAAGGGAGGTGGAGAGACAAGGGGGTAAAAAGGGCAGGGAGAAGAACAAGCAAGGGAGGAAGGAAGGGATGAGAAGCCTTAATGGTAGGGAGCAAGATGTAAAGAAACAAGATTCATTTAGAGATAATGGGTAAATTTAATTGAAAAGGGGATTCTGCAAAGGTACATAAGATTCTATTCTTATATTGGTACTTAGAAATAATGTTAGAAAATTGGAAACAACATGTGATCAAAAAATGGGATAAAATATTTAGTGTAACTTAGTGAAATTTTTGTGAATAAAAAGGCAATGAAATAAATGAGAGAATTGAAGTAGGAGGAAATGGGAACATTTTAATGATACAATGATTTAAAATATGTGATGTGGGGGGGAAATAACTATGGAAGGTATAAGTGTTCCCATAAAACTATGATATTCAATTGAAAAGTGATGTGTAAAATGTTTAAGATATAAATGAATATTAATATTAATGATTAGATTTGTATTGTCATTGATAGTTGTTTTAATTATATTATATACTTATACATTTTTTCTTTTTATAAAATATAATGTGTAATTTTAGAATGTATGAAACAGAATCCCAATGGAAGTCATGTATTATATTAAGTATTATAAATTTAGGGAAAAGAGTTAAAGGCGTCATATTCCAATCAGTGTACAGGCGAAGTTTTGTTTAAAGAGAAAAGAGAAATAGATAGCTGGAAACAGAACAGATAAAGAATAATAAATATTATGATCTGAACTGAGATGAGATAAATAAAATAAAACTAAGAAAGTGAAAAGAGGTGAGAAGCTATATAGAAAATGGAAAATGGTAATAAGATATGGAATGGTATATAAAATGAATATGAATTTGAATTTGTGTCTGTACGAAGAGATGTAATCCGGGATCAAGCAGCTTTCAGAAAAGATGTTTTATGTTTTTATGTTTTGTTTGTTTGTGTATTGTCTTTGAAAATAAAATTTGTTTTAAAAAAATAAATAAATCTTCCTCCTTATTTTCCGCTACATTCTTGAATCTCAGGTAGAAAGCTGATTTCTCCATTTCTAGGTGGACAATTGCCTCTTCCAAGTCTCTATTTACTGCCATCAATTCTGTCTATTGTCTCTAGTTTTTTTTCTGTTAATTCTGTTTTATTTTCCACCACTATATTTTCTGTTCATTTTAGGCTATTGCCTCTTGTATCGTTCTTATTTTATCATCCAGTTTGTGAATGCCTCCCTTCATTTCTCCAATCTCATTTTTGATCTCTTCATGGTTTCTTGTTATTGACTCTTGTGTTTTTATCATTGATTTCTGTATCATGAGAAGGGTTATCTGCATATTCTGCAGGCTCAATGTAGATCCTGATTTCTCTCCCCCAAGCATACTTTCTATTAATTGTTGTCCCGATGGGGATGCTACTGTCGAAAAACACTAAAGCACCTAGATGAGCATAGATTAACTCCAAGATTAACCTCTGATCAACAATCAAGTAAACAATACCCCAATCAAGAAACTGCCAAACAAGCCAACAATAAACAGTCCAATCAAAGAACCTCCAAGACCACCCCCACCAACAAGGCAAGCAACTAGAATATAAACTGAGAGCAAACCCCACTCCTTACTAGCACTGATGATATTATCTAATTTGGGTAATGAAATATATGCAAGAAAACAAACAAGCTCTGAACAACAAAAATGAAGACAGGTAATAACTTCAAATGCAAATGGAACTTTTTAATTTTGTAACACATTTCATTTAAAAAATATATTTATATATATTCAGTCAATGCTTGCTAGGAACTTTCTGAGTTATAATGTATGTTTTCTTACTCATCACTTTTCTGTATGACTATCAGAAACACAAGTAGAGCTTCATTATTCAAATTTATAAAAGACCCAACTTTGTTGACTTTTCCTTATTGTCATATATTTTATACATTGAAGAGTTTTTATATATTTTATATACAGAGTAAGCATGAATATATTCCTCATAATTATCCAGTCAGATAGAACACTGTTCCTGCACAGTTATTGTGATGTATATCTTCAATGTAACATATATGTTCAATGTTTTGAGAATTGATTGCAAGGTATATGGCATTTCCTTTTCTTTTAATCTCAAAACAAGGGTAAAACTAATTTGATGGAAAGAGAATGACACTTAGTCCAAAAGCACTCACTGAGGTCCAAGGTAAAAGCACAGAATTTCAAAACTGCAATGTATGGTCTATCCTAGAATGGGTTAAAGTTCATATCCATTTGAATATCAATCCTGTAATCACTTGTCTATTCTTAACTACTTAGCTAAATCTGAAATTAATTTCTTATTTTTAGGACTTTAAAAATAAAAAAGGACCTATAAAGCACAATCTTATGCAATCCCATGTCTAAATAAGTATGAAAAATTTTAATCTTAAAACTGTAAGTCATTAAAAAATTAAATGGACTAATGACTGCCATGGATTTAATAAATCTTGTCAGCTTCCAAGCTTAATTTGCCTAATATTTTGGGCATAAACTTTAATTAGCACTAGGACAGGGGTGTCAAACTCAATTTCATTGAGGGTCGCTTCAGGGTTGTGTTTGACCTTGGGGGACCAGGGTGGATATGGCTGGGATGGGTGTGGCAAGCTCGATGTCACTTGTGTCGGGGGCCCTTGTGGTGACCTGAGCACACTGTCAGCAAAAATGGGCTCCTGAGCTCTGTTTCTGGTTGTGACGGCTTTTTGCAACCCTCTGCCAGTGAAAATGGAGCTTGCAAAGGCCACGCGTGGCCCTTGCAAGTTCCATTTCTGGCTGCAATGGCCTCCTGCAACCCTCTGCATTGAAACTGGAGCTTGGGAAGGTTGCGTGTAGCCCTTGCAAGCTCCATTTCCAGCTGCAGTGGCCTCCTGCAACCCTCTGCCAGCAAAAATGGAGCTCAGGAGGGCCACGCACAGCCATCACAAGCTTCATTTTCATTGACGTACCATGGGTTGCTCCTTCACTATTTCCAAGGCAGCCCTGCAGGCCAGATCAAAGCACTCTGTGGACCGGATCCAGCCCGTGGACCTTGAGTTTGATATCCCTGCACTAGAACTTTGCTTTAATAGCAATAGCACTTACACTTATATACCACTTCACAGTGCTTTACAGCCATCTCTAAGCAGTTTACAGAGTCAGCATATTGCCCCCAACAATCTGGGTCCTCATTTTACTGACCTCGGAAGGATGCAAGAATGAGTCAACCTTGAACCAGTGATATTTGAACTGCCAAATTGCTGGCAGCCGGCAGTTAGAAATATCCTGCAGTACTGCATTCTAACTACTGCACCACCATGGTTCTTAATAATAGATCTTATCTTGGAAAAATAATACTAAGTTAATTAAAACATTTTGTAATATAACTTAATAGCAGTGTGTGTAACACACTATATATATATGCGTATGAATGTATATACATACACATATACATGTATGTGTATATGTGTGTGTGTGTGTGTGTGTGTGTGTATGTATGCATACACACAAATGCACACAAATATAATAAAGTGCTGTTAATTGGGGAATGTACATGTATATGTACATACATGCATGCATGCATGCCCACACACAAATATGCATATATTCAAAAATAATTCAATTCTTTTTAAAGGAGAAGTGTGCATAGGATTGTAGATTATGGTATTGAGGAAACATTTTAACAAGAATTCAAGTAAAAGAAAAGGTTCCTAGATATATATAGTACAGAAAGTCACTTTTTCCCAAGATGGTTTTTAATCAGTTGTCCCACCAGCTTCTGTGGTCTTGTTTGATATTCCTTCAAGACATCATGAGGTGTAGAGATCTGATCACCTTCAAGTCGGTTCAGCAATGTTACACATACTACAGCACCTTAACATTTACAAAACAAAATCAATATTATTTTTTTCCCAAATTATTGAAAAAAATGATTTAATAATATATAAAATAATAACAATAATAATCATCCACATTTACTGTGAAAAATATGTTACTTTCTTATTTTTAATTTTTTATTAATTTTTATTTTATTACTTCCTATTGGAGAAGAGGTGAACCATAGGAGAGATGCAACTCAAATGACAATAGTAGGGATCAGAATAAGCCATGATCTGTTAGCTGGGGAAGAACATGGGGAGCTGGAAAGCAACACCAATATTAAATCAGATTGCCTTTCCTGACACTGGTTATTCCCTATCTTGAGATATCAGTCTTGCAATTATTCTATTACACCTACTTAAATTAAAACTCTTCAGTAAGTTAAAATTAAAGCTACTAAGTTAAATAACATTACCTTTGAGGCCACTAAGATTGCACATAGCTGCAAAAACAGAAGATTCCATCTCAATATTTCTCACTCCTGTCTTGTAAGCTTCCTTCAAATATTGCATTTTCTCTTCTTCAGTATATGTGCAGATGGCACCATCAAGGCGCGCTTGACCTACAAATGCACGGCATGTCATTAAAGATGTAGAAGTAAACATCCCTGCAATAAGATCCTAGACAGATGACTAAAGGTTCATTAAAGATTTTTATGTATATTATGAACATTTCTTTATGTATACTAGTGAGTTTTAAGCTACAGTAAATCCTAAACAAAGCATATTCGGTAGTTCTGGAAAACTGCTTTTTGTTCACACGTTAGTTACAATTTCTGCCCTTCTGAAAAATTTTTACATTTAGTTTTCTCTCAGGATTTATTTTTGACCCAGGATTTATTCTTTGACTCGGCTTTCTGTACTACTATTTGACCAATGAGCACAATACAGAGCTCCATGCATTCACAAAACTTTCTCCCTCCCTCCTTCCCTTCTTTTTCCCTTCCTTCCCTTCAATCATGCTGTCACAATAATTAATAGTGCTTAATCTCCAATGGAAGAATGTAAGTGGGGAAAATATCTCTAATGTATTATGCTGTTTGATTTGGTGCTTTGGATTGTATAACTAAACTATATAATTCACATCATGATCTCACATGATCTTAAGGTATCTTAATAATTATTAGTTTGGTGCATGTCACAATGTGATATCTAATGCATGCCTAAAGTTCAAATGCTGAACTTGTGGCATTCATGCAATTAAGAAGTCATTTTAAATTCAAGCAATGTATTGTGTTACCTATCATCAAAATAGAAAATTTAAAATAACAAATCAGTTTTGTTAGATTAAAAAAGGAGCATCTGATTAGAACGCAGTAAATATTACTGTGAGGTAAACCAATTTTTGTACTTTAGAATATACCTGGATGAAATTCTAAACAAAAAAAGGTAGACTCCATTCAAGTCTTTTCTCAATTTTATGCAAAAGTATTCAATTACATCTTGTAGTCCACATATACATTTTTCTTCATGCTTGTTTATTTTTTATTTAACGTTAAGAAAAGTATGTTTTATGTCATCATCTGCTTATTCAGATTGAAATTTTGTTTGCTATATACAAAGTAGTATTTAACTAGTCTTACCTTCATAGAAATCCAGAGTGCACAATGTGTTTCCAATGACTGTGTTGAACTGATCAAGTTCCTTGGCACACTCCATAAGGTCTTCAGTTAATTTTTCATCTAAGTATGTACTGCGAATGACAGACTTCCCCAAAATAATCTGTTCGAACTGTGGCTTGAAGGTAGGATCTACAGCTTGCTTTGTGATCACCACAGAGCCAGGTGTCAAGCCTACGTTATAAATATAATTTGTATTTGACGATAATATAAATCAAGCACATACTTACTTTAAAGAAATAACCATAGAAATACCTATTCCACCAGATGTGCCAATACGAATAATGGTTACGTTGCTGCATTTGGCATGATACAGTAGCTTGATGAGTTCATGCAACATGATGGCAATTGAAGGGATTCCCATTCCATGCTGAAATTTAAAAATGGGAGGGGAAGGAATACTATGAATATTTATTTATCACTTCATATGTTCTGTTTGTGTATGAATGAGTATGCATATTAACATGACAGATTATTCTCCATTACTTATAGAAGCTGAACATTTTTGCTGAATAAAGAATAATATATTTATCCTGAACCTTTTAACAAAGCACTTTAAATAGCCAGTGTTGTACAGCAGGGCTCACACCCTTTTCATCTGGCATTGGCTGAAAGGCTTGAAAGCTGAGTGGCTTTGGGCTTACCTGAAATGTGAACTTTTTGACAAGTGATTTAATGGACATAGCCACTCACCTGCTTGGAACTCCTTGTGTTTTCTCATGATATAGGGCAGCGGCCCCCAACCTTTTGGGCACCGGGGACCAGTTCCACGGAGAAAGGGTTTTCTATGTACCGGAAGAAGTGTGGTTTCATGTGCTGTCTGCATACTGCAGATGGGGCTTCGATCTGTTTGTGCATCCCAGTTTCTGGCATGCTGCTGGACGGAGCCTGTCCATAGTCTAGGGGTTGGAGACCCTTGATATAAAGTGTCTTGCTTGACCAGGAGGTTGGACTAAAAGACCTCTTAAATCCCACCCAACTCTATTATTCTACATTCTTCTGAAACCAACATTGGATAAAACACAGTTTGCCACTCTCAGACATCAACCAGCTCTTTTATCTCTATTCCTTCTTTTATCAATTTCTTGGAGCATAATTCACTCCCAAACCAAATCAACATTTAAATTGATCGATTAAAAACATGTTTGCAGTCCAAAATTTCTCTTTTTTTTGTAATTGTATTGTGTCCAGAAATATCTACATCTATTGCATGTTCTATCCATTCATTTATTTTCAACAGCATTTTCTATTCTCAGAAAAAAAGCAGAGACTCTCAATTTTCAGGTCTTCCTTTGAGGTATACAGTCATTATATATATTCATTGTTAGACATATTAGTAATTGATTATTAAGTTGCATATATTAAACTAATTAAAAATTGACTTTTCTCAAGAAAATTAATGCCCTCATTCAAGGAGAAATGCTGGAGAATGTAAAAGCTTGCATAGTTATATGAAACATTCTAATGAATCCAAATAAAAGTAAATGTTTAAAATCACACACCTATGTATCTTTTTGATATCTTTTTTCATATATCTTTTGTTTTTAATATATATATATATATATATATATATATATATATATATA